AACTAGAGTTTATTTTGTCATAAGGTAGTGTGATTATGCATGCCACGAAGTATTTGCTAGTCTAGTACTGGAGTAATTAGCGTTTGGATGCGCATTGTGAGCCTTTAAAGGCTCAGGTCACGTTCTAAATTTGAATTTTGCATTCGATGCGTTGTAGGTGGCTAACGAGATGGTAAGCACCTGGGCAGGGCCGCCAGCTATGATCACCATCTTTCGCAAGATGTTCGGATCAAATTCCTGTCCAAACATCGTAAAGCAGAACAGCTTCCAGAACTTACAAGCCTACTATCTACAAAAGGTAGTCATTTCACGGTGAATTAGTAGCTGTACCCCGTAGCATTTTTACAAATCTTTGAACAGATTTTATTACGTACTAAATTAATATTAATATTGATACCAATGCCTATTAAACTACGTAATTTGAGGTAATGACGTAAATGTGTTATGTATGCATGTGAGTATACTGGGCCGACCTCTCTGCTTCACAGTCTGTGTATTTTCTTCAGACGATTCCCGTCGCCATGGCAACTCTGCGAAACATACACAACCTGTGCCCACAGGAGGTGTTTAAGTTTCTGCTAGATCTGTTTAAGTATAATGACAACAGCACGAACAAGGTATTTCCATCATGATTGTGTATATTTATTTCACATTGTGCAGCTCATATATAGTATGTGATAGGTATAAAACGTAGCTATGCCTATTAAAAGTGTCGTGCTATATTGAGCTTATATTTCTTTCAGTTTTCCGACAACTATTACAGATCCGCTCTCATATTGGCCCTGGCCAATACAGTAACGCCTGCAGTGACCATAGGTGCGCTCTCAGGGTAAGAAACTCACAAGCTGTCACTTCAGCAGCCCCACTTGCTTTCAAGGCATTGCTTAAGTATTGTTAGATTCGTTAAATGCACGCACGTTTATCTGCATTGCAGAGTAAGTTACCTTTCTAGAGTGCTCGCCTTTTTTAGCTCATCTTACGTAGTCAGATGCAGCTTGTAGAATCGCATGATTGTCCGTCCGTCCGTCCGTCTGTCAGCAGTTGGACACAAATCTTAATCGCTCGACGTACTGTCACGATATTCGGGACGTGGCGGGGTAATCCGAAAACGAGTTGGGATGTCGAAGCTGGGGGGTCAAAGGTCAAAGGTCAAGATGTGTAAAAGAGGGGGGAACATTCCTTCTTTAACTTAAGGTATAGGGAGGAAATGCAGAATTGCGGCACATATCTAAACGGCTCGACCTAGGCTCGTGATAGTCGGTGTATAGCATCATGGTAGGAAAAGCCATCACTGTGCCGAAATTGGAGGTCACAGGTCAAAGGTCAATGGGGCAGAGGGCAGATTTTATACATTTTCTGAGGACATGGTCTGACGGAGCGATTGAAAACAAATTTTGTTTCAGCGGTACCATTTTTATGGCTTTATTGAAAGGACCGTGAAATGTACTTTCCACTGACATGCAAAGAGTAAGTGTCGGATAACCTTTTGACCCTCAAGAGGAGGGTTAAACATTTATTTGTTGACTGTTAACAAAGGACTGAACTGCTTTTGCTATTATTAGAGCCCATACCTGTGTGAATGTTGCACAGTTTAATTGCAATGTCAAATGTAAACCCTGAAGGCTGAATCAGTGAATGCTCGTGTGGGTAGGCAAAAACACGGGGCAGCCCATGGCTGGCACGCTTCTAATCATAATTGTTGCCTGCCAACCTGCAATGGACATTGTGTCTGCAATGCATAGAGATTAGGTGGGTGCGAAAGTGTAGCTGATATATTTGTTCCAATTGGCTACGAAAGTCAAACAAGAATAAAGAAGACTTATGTATAAGACGTCTTGCTATGCACAAATGAATTTATCAGCAGAACACCATACACCAGATGAGCCCTGTCGCACTGCGGCACTTGTTTCCATTCAAGTGTGGTTCATTTTGTAAAATATAGGCGCTTGTTGTCGGAAACAAAGATGAATTTTTCCACTTAGACCAGACGTCTATACACTGCGTATGAGAAACTCTTAACTTTCCCACGTTTCTGTAAATCTTCTTTGAGAAAAAGCTGTCAAGACTAATGATAAGACTTATTTTGTTTCCGACAACGGGCACCTGTATTTTACAGACTGAACCACACGTGAACGTAAAAGAATACAAATGAAATTTGAGTTGCACGGAATTTTCGTGCGCGAATAACCGAGCCTCTCTCTCTCTCTCTCTCTCTCTCTCTCTC